GCTTCAATCTGGTATTCTGGCCGCGGACCAACAACTTCGCTACACCACTTCCGAGTCATTGCCACTTCCGCCATCGGCAAATTGCGGAACACACCGAATCCAAAGCCCATACGAGGCACACAATTGAAAAACGGATCTGTCTGTTGGTCGCATTGCGCTCACCTTCCCTGAGAAAATACCCATGTGACTGTTTGAACGGCTCGTGTGAATGGTTACGGTTTAGAGATTAACCTACGTATACAGAGTGTTTCAGAAAGTAGCAAACTTCGGGAGCGTATATTATATACTCGTTGAGAGAAGCAAAAATGACCCAATAGACGTGGGTCCAAATATCATTTTCTACTCATCGGAAAAAAAGAAGATCGTCCAACTTAATGTTAATATTCCCAGTTGCGATTATCATAATTCAATAACGCGTGTATATTACTTTATTACTGGAACTTGGTTTGTCGTTTATTTTTTATTAGTTCTTACATATACACAGGGAGCGATCACATAATATGTGTAATAGAAGCTGCATGACGATAAATTTTCAAACTCAATTTTCTCGTAAGCTAAGCCTTAAATGAACAAATTTTATTCTATATTTCGTTCTTATCTTTTCATAAGGAATCTATATATGATATCTAGAATTATTCAAAGCATTTTCTCGCTTTTAATATTTTCTCCTGCCGGAACTAAAGTACAACTTATATTATTTAATATTTTATCATTCTTTCATTATTAATCTTCGAATTTTAAAATCTCGATAAGCTTAAGCGACTTAAATAATTCTATCTCATTATATTACATTGTTACAAACTCAGGCTGTTAGAAACGTCTTGTAATTTCCAAACTAATGATACATATTTGTATATCATTTCATTCATATTTTTTGAAGACGTTTTTGCTTATATTTACGAATCGTGCCACTAAAGTTTGGAACCAACTTTCTGAAACACCTTGTACGCTGGCGTACACTCTCGTGAGTATGGAAAGCTCGCTATCTAACCAGGAGCGAGCATATGTGGACGCAGAAGAGGCGTTGGCGTTACTGGGACGAGTCAGTCCACGAACATAGAGCAAGAGAAAGAAACCCCGTTATCTAGAGAACGCTAATTCCCGCAGGAACGGCACATTCGAGCAGATACAATCGCTACCTTCTCGCCTATCCTCTTATCAATCCGCGCGAGATCTCGCCTTTCTATCTCGACCGATGATTTCCGAGACGAAAAGTCTTGGTACGCAGGCTTAATCAAACTGGCAGGTTCGCTTCGTGGAACAAAAGCTGCTATTCCGGTAGCATGGCGAGCGAGATTAACGAGCTGTCGACTCAACTTTCTTCGCGGAATCGATGAGGAGCCCGCGAGAAATCGCGATCGCGTGGTATTTCTCCAGAGGTGTCTCATCGTCGACGGGAAGAGGTCGCAGGTCGAAAAATTCTAGACATCCGCTTTCCCTGAGCCGATCTTGACGTTCCTGAATTTACAAAATACCTCCTGCATGATACGAGTTTTCACTATTATTTAAACAACGCGAGTGAAAATTCCTGACAACTCGTTGGAATTGAATAAATGAATAGGATTTTCCATGCACCTTTAGACTCGTTATGTTAGGATGATAGTCGTTTCTTAAGAATTCATCAAGAAAAGTTACCTCGACAAAACTGACTTTTTATTATTTGCTTTCAGATTGCACGGATCGTACGAAGCTTTGAAGTATGGAACTCTGTTGGATGGTTTGTCTGACCTTACCGGCGGAATCACTGAGAGTATCGCCATACGCCAAGATCCTACTGCGTGTGGGCGAGTACTAGCGAAACTCCTCGATATGACATCCCTTATCACGTGTACAGTAAATAACAATCAGCAGCAGGTAAACAACACGTGACTCTTTTCTTCTTAATTTATTATCGACCGCAGGTATCTTTAATACTTTGTAAGCCCGCTATTATTAGACTATCGGCGTTTGTACATTTATAGAAAATTAGATCTCTCGGATCGTTCGGATCTCTATTTAGATTCCATTTCTCCGATTATACCCATAAAAATATAAAACTGCTTAAACATGGGCGTTATAGATGTTATAAACATTGTGTTATTGAAAAACTAAATTATTTGTTTTTACTTCGTTTAAGATTCGTGCCAGTACAGAGAAACTCGCCAATGGCATTCAGATGGGGATCAATTACAGGCTGTACGCTATTGAAAGGGTAAATACCAGAGATAATAATCGTTCGACGATCTTGATTAATTCTGACTCGTATTTCATGATGGATCGTTGCGTAAAATATAGGTGGAAACATTCAACGGCGAGGCGGTTCAGTTAGTAAAATTAAGAAATCCTCTTGGACCTGGTAGGGAGTATGTTGGCGCTTGGGCGAGAGGTGGCCTTGAATGGGATGAAGTACCTCCAATGGAAAGGGATCGTTTAGCGGTCAGAAATATGGCCGAGGGAGAATTCTGGTGAACTTATTTTAATAATAGCTTAATTTATAAAATAAGCTTTGATAATTTATTTAAGTTATAAGGTTTATTTGAGTACGCACCTCGTTAAATTTAGTTACGCGATAATTGCAATAAATGCTACAAACGTGTGAATAAAAATAATTAACAGGAATCGCATGAATCATAGGATATCGTATTCGGATTTCGTGAAGACGTTCACTCATTTAGAAGTCGTACATCTTGATGCCGAAACGTCGAGAGATGAGCCATCGTTGCATAGCAAACATACCTGGCAAATGAAACTCTATCAAGGCAGTTGGAGGAGGGGCGTAACCGCAGGAGGATGTCGGAACAATGAAGGTTCGTACGCGGTTTACTCCAATGATGAACGTTTTACAACGGAAATCCGGTAATACGTAACGTAAGCACTTATTAGAATTACGATAAATTGTTCTACGATTCTATAAATTTATATATGTTGCAGAAACTTTCCATATTAATCCACAATTACATCTAATCCTAAGTGAAATGGAGGAAGTAATTGTCTCTTTGTATCAACACTCTATCATGGAAATAAAAGTAAGGAATACTCTTTATAGCTTTTAAATGTATCCTATTTTAGAAATTTTATTATTAATGACTGTACCATTTGTATTATATTAAGGTGATAGGCTTCACGGCGTACACTTTGCCGAAAAATAGCACAGAATCGATAAACAAGCAATTTTTCAAAAAGAATAAATCTTTGGTTAACTCGCAATATACCAACAGTCGTCAAGTGAGCCACAGATGTCAATTAGACCAGGGTGGTTATTTGTTAGTACCCACTACTTTTGAACCTACGCAAGAAACAAGTTTCACACTGCGAGTCTACAGTAGTAAGCCTCTAAAACTTAAGTAAGTAATTCAATTTTAATATTAACAGGTTACTTGAAAATATAATTTTACTTTATACATATATAATGATTTTATTAGACTTCTCGATACACCGCCATCTTTGATGAAATCGGCCATCATCAAAGCGCCACCCCTCGAAGGCAAAGGTTTCTCACAATATGAAGCCGTGTTTCTGCAACTTGCTGATGAACACAGAACAGTAAACGCTTTTGAATTGCAAGAACTTCTCGAAGCTTGTTTACCAAATGGTAAAAGTTCGCACTATCTAAAATTATAATAAAAAAATTAATTCACCGATTTTTCTAATATTACTTGATAAATTATTGTGTTTCATTTATAGATTATATAAAAAGCTGTGCTTCTATGGAAGTATGCCGACAGGTAGTTCTTACAATGGATGTATCCTTAAAATTAGTTACCTTAACTGTTTTTAATAATATTTTTTTTAATTAATAATAATTTACTGGTGGTTTTCCTTACATTGATATTAATATAGAGTTCTGGTAGTGGTCGATTAAAATTCAATGACTTTAAGGATCTCATGTGCAGTTTAAAATACTGGCAAGCAGCGTTTAAAAATCACACGAAGGAAAAAACGGGTATACTTAAAGCGGAACGATTGCGAGATGCGTTATTAGAAGTGGGTAAGTATATATTATATATATACATGTTTACCGATGTTTGGTATTCACCTATCCGTACTCTTAACGCATGAAAAATATTTCTATTAGGGTTCCAATTAAATACGGATGTACTTTCAATTTTAATCCTTCGCTATATGAGAAAGGATGGGACACTCAGATTTGGTGACTTCGTCTCGGCAATACTGCACTTGAGTGACGCATTTGGTATACTTTAAGTTTCTGATTCCTCCTTCTGTATATTTTAATATTTAAATATTTAAATCGCACGCTAATATTTACACTTATTTTATAGGAATATTTGAAAGTAAAGACCCTTTGCAAAATGGGACCATAAAATTAAGTTTAACTGAGGTACTCACGTTACATATAAAATTTGGTTTGATTTAGATATAAAAAATTAAATTATTATTTAAAATATCAATATTTATTTTCAGTGGCTCAGATCATCTTTGATGTGCTGAACTTACTACTCAACATAATTCGTGTACCTTGGAATACTTGTAAATAATGTTTTTTACGTCGTATGTAGACTTAAGTTTTAGCCATATTAACGGTTAATGAACAAGTCTATTTTTTGTGCTGTTTGTAAAATAATGTCATTCTTCCCGCCATTAGCAATCTCATCATTCCTTCATCTGATTAAACATTATAAATGACAATGTATTATATGTTATTTGTATAAGAAATTCATACTGAATAATAAAGTTAAATTTATTTTGTACAGCCCCTATCCACAATAAATAATTAATTATTTGTAAATAGGCTTGTCATCAAATTATATACTTCAAAGTACATATAACTTATATGTATAACAAGTTGTACGAATTACATGCATATAATTTGAACTGAATGATATGAATTTGTTTAAAATAAAATTTTTCACACAAAAAATTATTGGAAAAATTCTTATTGAAAATTGTAAATAATATCAAATACCTAATGCTATTAATTTTTTATTGCAAACTGTATGTATCCTAAATTCAATCGTCAAGAAGTATTTTAAATAATTGAAAAATCGCACAATAAAAAGTAAGAATAGAGTCGACAATCTCATGCGTATGAAGTATGAACGCACATGTATGTATAATGGCGTTCCTTTCGCTGATAAATATTGAGCGTGTTTAATTTATTTAAATTTTGTAAAAATAATGCTAAGGTGGTTATTACAAAATATATACAGTATTCAATATACGGTTTTTATACGGTGACTAGAAATAGTGCTTAGTTGGAAAGTGTCACATCACAATTAATGACGTGGATTTAGGTTAGGTTATGCTTTACAATTTTTACCTGAATCTTGTCGAAATATTACTAAAAAAGTAATTTAAGAGTTCATCGTAAAGCACAAATCGTAAATAATGTTCGAAATTACAGATACGCAAAGTAAGTAATAAATAATTTATAATTTATAAAAAATCTACGATCTGTAACTATTCTCATGAGTACGAAATGAAATGTAAATTTCAAAACACTATATAACAATTATGTATTGATTTCAGAAATAGGAGTCGGACTTGCAGGATTTGGTATATCTTTTCTTTTCCTTGGAATGTTACTACTTTTTGATAAAGGTCTTCTTGCTATTGGAAATGTAAGAACTGTTCTCATAGATCTGTGAAAGCATCCAGTGTACATTATTATGAATTAATTATTTCTCTATAGATTTTATTTATATGTGGATTATCATGTGTTATTGGACCAAAGAGAACCCTCAGCTTTTTTTTTCAAAGGCACAAGATAAAAGCTAGTGCTTCATTTTTAGGAGGAATTATTGTAGTACTTATGGGTTGGCCTATCATAGGCATGATCATAGAAACGTATGGTTTTATATTATTATTCAGGTATGTATTCTACATCTGTTTTATTACCGAATACATATTCGTTTTTTATGAAACTAGTTAAAATTTTAATGTTATTAATTTTTCAGTGGTTTCCTGCCAGTTGCCATAAATGTTCTACGAAAGATACCTGGTTTAAGAATTATTTTAAATTTGCCAGGTTTATCTCGAATATTAGATTCAATTGCGGGAGATCCAAATAGAACAACTGTATGATATGTTTCTTGATATGATGGCACAAATCATTGTATATAAGATCCACTATTTTATATTGTGTCCCAAACTTTCTCGTCATTCCCTTCTGAAATTTCTCTCAGATCTCTGTTTGTATTGTATAAATGTCAAGTGTAAACAACAAAGTTCAATTACCTACCCATTTAATCTAGAAATATTGTGTAAAAATAATATATAAATTTCTCATTTTCATATAAACTACTGTATTGCTGCAGAGAGTATATGTGTATTTTAAGAGCATTCCAAAATGTTCAGGTAGATTGAGGATCAAAATTAAAATGGGAAGTATTTTTATTTAAAATCATTAATTCACTGTATCAGTAGATTAATGATATTAAGGCTAACACCTACTTTATATTTGGAATGTTTATAATAATGAAATATTGTATGAAACATGAAATATGTAATATGAAATATGATACGTGACTGTCACTACTCCTTCAAAATATAATTTTACTATATAAGAATGCAGGCATATTATTTATTTTTAGTATCTATTTAATGAACAAACAATAACTTAGATAATTATCTTATCTTGTATGTTACAAAACGTAAGATAAAGAATTTAATTAAAAAAAATTAAAAAGTTATGTTTAAGGTAAGAAAAGACTCAAAACTATGTTTTGTCATTACTTTTATTGATCTGTTGGTTTCTTTGCACACATCCTAACATAAACACATTGGATGCATACACTTACAAGTAACGCTTCTCATTATCTTACACGTAGTAGTCTGGAGTGTGAAATTAAATTACTGTTCACTGAAACTCGATGAACTTCATTGATATCGTTAATATGATCATTTATTATCTACAATGGGCCGAGAATAAGGGCGGGGGGGCGGCCCAAGTCTACGCGTCCCGCCGTCGCCGCAATGGTATTTCGTCGCGCGTCCTTCTCTTGCTCAAATGTATACGCTTATTTTTGTTATTTTCTTCTTTTTTGTTTAGATAATTATTTTTACTACTTTATGTCTCGACCATCGCTTATATAGTCACATGTATCAAACATTTCACATATCCATTCGTTTTTCTTTACGAAAAGGAGTATGAAATATAGAACATGTGAGCTGCAAGAAAATACTGAATCCGGCAATAAATTAAGCGAATTCTCTTCTACAGTCAAGATACATATTCTGCCGAGTTTCATGCAGTTCACAAGATGCTACCAAAAGATCATAGTCTGACTGTTCTCAAATTTCTCGACAGTTCGTGTACTGTTTCAGCCATGAAATAACTTGATCTGTTGTTATGTTGGATGGTGAGGGTAATAAAGATGGTACTTGCAATTGTAGTTGTGAAGGTAATGAGGTGAGGATTGTTATTATGTCTTAAAGGAGATTCTTAATTTCATCATAAAGTACCAACACGAGTGCACCACCTGTACCACGAAGAACGTTGGAGAATGCTCCTTTGAAGAAAGCACCACCACCTTCTGACTTATAGATAGTGGCCCAACAGTGAAGGGTACTCTTGTATAACATATCGGATTTAGCGCGACCAGACTGCATCATCATACGCCTACGTACTGTGTCAAATGGATAAGATACAATACCCGCAACAGTTGTGACAACCTGCAAGAAATATTAGATATTAATAAAAGGATTACAGTTGTATCAAGATTTAAAATAGATATTATTGTCTGGTCTGTACCTGAGCAATACCCCATGAAATAAGGAATGGTGTCTTTTTGGGATCAGGCAGCATACCACGGGCAGTATCATAGAAACCAAAGTAGGCAGCACGATAGATGATGATACCCTGGACGGATACACCGAAGCCACGATAGAGGCCGCCAATACCGTCAGTCTTGAAGATCTTAGTCAGACAGTTACCAAGACCTGAGAATTCACGTTCACCTCCAGCTTTGCCTACATCAGCAGCCAACCTATAAATAATAAGTGTAAGTAATTACCATATATAAAACTTTATCACACAAGTTGTAATTAAGAATTAATCACAATCGAATACCAAAATAATATATAAAAAGTACCTAGTTCTGGCAAAGTCAAGAGGATAGACAAAGCACAGAGATGTAGCACCAGCAGCACCACCAGAGGCCAAATTTCCAACAAAGTAACGCATAAATTGTGTGTTTTTGTCAACACCACCAAGGAAAATTTGCTTGTACTTGTCTTTGAAGGCAAAGTTCAAAGCTTGTGTGGGAAAATATCTGATAACATTGGCAAAGTTACCACGCCAATAACTGAGGAATCCTTGTTCTTTTGGAATGCGCACAAAGCAGTCAATCATACCTGGAATAATATGAATATATATTTACATCATACTTTATTTCAAGAAAGATTATATTTTGCATGAATAATAAGTGACAAGATTAATTACTTTTTTATTTTATTCAAAGTATTAGAATCTTTTCATGAAAATTTTTGAATATCTGAATCATGAAAATATTTGAATGCTAGATTTAGAAATTCTATAAATTTTGTTTTGTCATATATTGTACTGCATGCTGTTATGTAACAGAACATTGTCAGCTATAGATTTTTAATTATTTATAATATTTCATATCTTTAAGTACATAAGATTATCTTTACAATAACTAAGATACATTAACATTGTTGATACGTTAACATTGCAGAAACTTTAAAAATCCGTTTTTTTTTTAATACTAAGCAAAGGAAGATATTCAAGGTCATGAAATCGTATTATTTTAGTATAATTTAAATATCATAAATTTTAATGATAACATATCGCGAATGATTAAATATTATCTACTAAATGTTTATCATAAAACTACAATCTAAGATTATGTATTATTAAAACATTATTATTCGTCAGCAAAATAATTCCACGCTTAAATCTGTGCAATTTGATATATTCGTAATTTTCTTTTTTTCTTAAATAAAATATTACTTATTTTTTCATAATTACATCACATCTTAGATATAGTACAATAAATTACATTCTCGTAAGTATGATTTCAATTGTTCATTATCAAATACATATTAAAAAATCTTTAAAATAAAATTTGAGTATATGCTTTATATTATAAAGGCAGCCATATTGAGCCGCATAGTCATCGATCGGCACTTGCGAATCCCGTACAAAGAGCAATGCCATGCACTGCCATCTGGTACCCAAGTCATTTCACCGAATATCGACCCACTGGTTTGTCAGAAAAGTACGACTTCCTTTTCAATCGATATTGCAAAAGTTATGTAAGACCCGAAACTTTATCTTTGTTACATAAAGTAGAAAATTAAAACTAGATAGTACTACTACTGGCGTACTACTAACATATAGTATGAAATGATATTACATAACAGTAATCTCGATCTTAACCGCCGTGGAGGAACTTGGCGGAAACGCTTGGCAGTTTCAGGATCCCGATATGAGCGAAATGTTCCTGTCACATGTTTTGTATGTTTCGTTGCTGATTTGTGATTCCAGTTACTTGCATGTTATGTATCCTGACACTTTGTCCATTTTATTAATCTCTCATAAGTGATCGAATAAATGTAATTGCCTCCTTAAATAGCTTACCTTTGTAACGCTGGTCTTCAGCAATTTGCTTGGAGATATGCTGTACCTGCAGCAACAGCTTCACACGTTCGATGGGAGCAACCGCCGTTTTCGAGATAGCGGCGGCTACACCACCAGCCAAGAAATCCTTGGCGAATGCCACTGGATCCGCAAGACCAGACATATTGATTCAGACAGTTAGTGTGAAAACGGGTTAACAAAATAAAGAGGAGGAACCACTCCTACGTTTCGGACGCGCGCCGGACGACGAGTGACCGAGACGAGTTCCTCTCGTTGAACGGACCTCTGCTAAGAATAGCTGCGCAGGTCACGTGCAGAGTTCTGCGCAGGTTCAATCTTCTGGCACGGCCGCACCTTGAGACCCTGACACTTCATACACTTCGAATGCGTACTCTGTTCCCGAATTCGTGACCTTTCTTTCGTATCTTGCGACACTACGCCTTTCTTCCCCTTTTTCACGGTCACCATGTGTATATCAATTAAATAGAATGCGTTCACGGTCAGTCATTTCGAAATTAGATGTTTAACCGCGCTTATGACGTATTTCCGGTAAAGAAAATATAGAAATTGTCGCTAGTGTCAAGGTATTCGAAACGCGAAGTAGTTTGGCGGGAATATATTTCTATAAAACGATGAAATATGTATCATATTTTTACGTATTATACCAAGATTTCTTCCGCATTTAACAATAGTGATTAAATGAATACCAAACACGGATATTATAGCAGATTAACAAAAATAATTGATATCAATATTTTTAATATATTTCTACAAATAAAAATTAATTGATGATTGCAACTCAATGTTTAATAAAAAAAAAGAGTATAGTGATATCGTTTTCTTTCTTCATATCTTAATTCACAAAGAATTGTACAAATTATAGGAAGAAATATCGTAGAGAAGTTGTGTGTATATTCGAAATACCCGCCTGATACACCCATCTTTACTGGTTCTCCAGGTACTAACAGGGTATAATTTGCAATTATTTTCCTATTTCAACAAGGAATAACTAATAATAATTTATCTTTACCTTAACTTTAATGTAATCCATTCCTTAATTATCATTTTTATGTAATCACAACATTGCTTAGTTTTGACATAAACATTCTTATAACTATAATATTATTTGCAACAATCGTTAATGATAAAAATTGCTGGAGCGATCTATAAAATCGAAGAAAATTACATTGAAGAGAAAAATAAGAAAACATTATGTCAAGGATAATGACCGATCGAGTTTTGTATTATACAATTTGATGTGACCCTATTCGATTTGAGGCAGGTATTACAGTACAGTTCCGTCATACCGATCGATCGTTATCTCTACACATAGGTAATGGTCATGTATATAATATGAATACATAGATCAAGTTATATCCTCATCAATAAGAACATTTATTATCAACATTTTTTATATTTTCATTTATTAATACAAGCAGAAAATTTTGATAAATACAATTGCGATAAGGTATATGTCTTTGGGGTGGTTTCGAGTTTGCGCTGTTTAAGATACAAGAACGAGATACAAGGTCGATCTTTCATGAAGAAGGAGGTCAACAGGGCGCGACTTGCGTAACCCTGGCGTACGGCCAGTATGTTACGAAGTACAACGCCAGAGTTCAATGGAGTAACTTCAAGTAAAGTATATTTATACACCTTGAAGACACGTACATACGTAGTGGACCTTGTAGAGAATAGACTAATGCTAAAAATGTCCTTTGTCTACATCATGTAAAATTTCACTGCGCGTGCAAGTATTCATAGTGAGAATTAATCATATCAACTGATATCAGCCGAGCATAAACCTATGGATACTGGTACATAAATACTAATACAATAATTTTAATCGTAATACTAGTAATCGACTGTATCTTTTAAATGTTCTTGCACTTCCGTATAAATTTCTGTTTTCGATAACATTAAACATTTAAAGAAATTGTAACTTGTATATAATAATTATCCATTGTGTTTCCAATTGGATGAATAATTGAATGGTAACAAAAAGTGACTGAGGATACTATAAATACATAATATGTAATTGTAATTCATATAATTATAGAGAATTAAGTAAGAGACTATGTAGTATTCGAGAGGTAACATTTTTGTGATAGGACACTTAAAAAATTTCAAGATATATCATCACCTATTTTATATATTTTAAAATATTCGTCTATATTTATGTCTAATTCTATCGTACCACTACTAACTTATCTTCATCGATTTATACAGACATTTCAGTTATAACGGGAAATTCCACATTTACTGAGTTCAGTGATAATATTCGATATACTGTTGTGATTATCTACACAAAAACACATGTAAGCAGAATGACTCGTGTGGCTCATATTATGCATTATAATCAGTAATTTGACGACTGTGTAGATATATATAAATAAAAATTCAAAATTTTCGTCAATGCATCCATATATTATCCATCACAGAGTACTTCCTAACTTGCAGACGATGTTACGTAACTATTATCAAATTGACATATAATACTAAAAAGAAATTAGAATGAATAGAAGAAAAACCATTAGATACATACGTATATGCGTCATTCAATTGCATACATAGAAAGTTAACGATTGCAAGCTCTAACACATTACTATATCGAACTTGCAACGTGGAACTTAAGTGTGTGGATTGGATTAAATAACGACCTTGATGGCGTATGCGGCTGTCTGCACATAGTGTAATAACTGAAGTCATGATGGTCAATGCACCTGAAAGCAGTTCGAAGTGGTTTTATTACTTGATAGAGATCTACAGGATTTAAGGTTTTGTAGCGCGACAATACATATCCCACAAAAGTAAAACACCCAGAGAATCGAAAGCCATATTCTTCGCGCATGCCTAAGATTCTTTCTCTATCAGAAAAGGAAGAACTTTCTTGACTGTCTGTATTTTCTGCACGCGTACACTAACAAACAATTCAGAAATCGGCAGAACGACAACTTTACATTATAATAAACACAGCATTTTAGATGCCGAAATTACCAATGTTACATATTTCCGTAATTAATCAAAATGTCACTTTTGCAGAGGCTTACTATAAAGATTTTATGTTAAAACTTTCAACTTTAATAATGAACGTCTTTATTTCGGTAAGGCTAGGTTTCCTAAATATTGAGTCATGTATAGATAATATACTAACGTATCGTATACTTACGTATCGTCAACATTTGAGAGCAATTAAAATTAAGAAAATTAATTTGCGTTACAAATACCTTAAACGTATATAAGATGATGTAAATAATTTATACGAACAATAATATATTATGTGAATATAAATATAAATTCTGATTAAGGGTAATGCTCAAGACATTTATTGTTTTTGCCTTTCGAATAGGACGTCTATTATTAATTACGTAAAAATAAGTATGATTGATATTTCTAATTGCACAATGTACCGATTATACATATACGATGTACAAAATAAAATTTTGATGTTTCTCTACCCGATCCAAATAAGGCGAGCTAAGCGAATAGTACGACATTTATTTGTCACTGCAGAACTAATAAAATTTTATATTTCTTTAATTTACTGTAGAAGTACGAAAAGTTTCTAAAAAAACTTTTCTCGAGTGACTGATTTGTTAGAATTAATAGCATATTCAAAGTGCTTCATTGCAATGTCAGGGTCATTTTACGCACAGGAAGCTACTAACAATTGACTCTATGGTTTCTGTGGCATTTCATAGTATCCGCCGTTGGTACAGTAGAATAAATCCTATTTAATCCAAACTAAGATCAAACCAAGAGTAATAATAAATAAGTTATTTTACTATATTTTGTAACGTAAAATACAATAAGGTTATCCATGATATACAATTAGAGTATATACCCAAACTTTAAAATTTAGATTATGTAATTAATCTATACTCTGTCTCTAATATATTTAAAAATATTGAAAAGCACGAGTAAACATACATTACACATATTTTATACAGTTCCCAATGAACTTTTTTTTAATTAATAATTAGATCTAACACCCTCTAGTGGAGTATTGCAAAGTATGTTAAATGCAGGAACGTGTGGAATATGAAACTGTGAAGTGACGAATACATACGAATCAAGCCGGACATTTATGAAACGTCAGACTTACAATTAAATTACGATTTTACGGCATTTTACGGTAAATAACATGTTTCTTCTTCGCGATTTTCAATTATGTAGTGGTTGTCTAATAATAATGATAGTGTAAACTTTTGTGCGAAATTTTTGTATTGTTTCATAAATTTATAATGATGTCACTTTCTGTCTCAGGTTATGGCTTCCTGCAATCTCTCAGACTTTTATTACGCTTTAAATAAACAATTTTTATTTTTCACGTATCTCGTAGTATTATTTTATGCAAGTAAAAGAATTAAAATATTTGAATTCCATAATATATTTATGACAATATGTGGAAATAAAAATATGATTGTCTTATTTTTTAATTCCGACTTGTATAAACATTGTTGTTAGAAAGTTCATATATATTAGCGTCGCCAAGTTAATATATGAATGAATGAAATAAACAAAGATATATATATATATATATATATATATATATGTACATACAAACGTGTGTGTATGTGTGTGTATATGTTTATATATCTCATTCTGCTCCTATATCTTTTATTTTTGGAAAAAGTAAATATTAAAAGAAATATCTTACATAACATAACTTTTTTACTGTTTTAGAACGAAAATGCTATGTATTTACAGTATGACATTAGTATGTATTAATGTTGCCTGAAAGCAAGGCATTCATAGACAATATGACAGAAGGTTAGTAAATATAGTATTTATAGCCTATTGTTTTTTAAATTTGAATATATATATATTTTATATTTTAACATGTATCTATCTGATTTATATATTTATCAAGATTATAACGAAATGAATTAATTCATATTTTAGGAGGTGAAACTCAACCAACTCCTGGAAATGAGGCACAACCTGGTATGCTGTCATCTTCTTCATTGATTCTTTATATACATTAAATTTTTCAAATTTTAATGCACTGAAAATGTAGCTATCAAGCTTAATATAATTAAGTTAGTGTTCATTGTGGGCATCTGTTACGTTACAGAATGGGGCTTCATCTATTAGTCTCTACCATCATACAGAATTAATAGTGTTAGAACTGAGAATATTTTTGTAGTAGTAGTTTCTAGACATGATCATACAAAATATTTGTGTTTAAAACAATATATTTTTATACTTCTATTAAATAAATTATAGAATTAGTTAATATATAAATGACTAAACCTGTCATTTTTATCAGAAGCCTCTGAAGCCAGGGCCGTACATGGCGAAGGATTACATGAAGCAGCAGCAGAATCATCTCAAAGTGTACCTGAACCCAATCAAGATTTACTTACTGTTCATGGAGCAACGCAAGGAGAAAGTAGCGATGCTGTTAGCATTCACACTGCCAGTACTTCAGTTTCTGGCAATGGTTAGCACACAACTCATATAACATTGGCTAAAGAAATATAAATAAATATTGAAGTTTATTGGTTTTCTTAGAATCAAGTTCCAGTAGAGTGAGTGCAATAACTGTTGTGTTACCTTGGGGTGCTCAGAAGGAAACAGTGAAATCACAACAAATAGGAGATATGGATTTAAGACCTGGAGAGTTTGTGATGCGTACTTTGTTTGCGGAGTTTACCACTCAAGCAGAAAAAAAAATGGAAGCAGTGATGACAGAACATGTAAGTAATTTTATTATTTAGACAAGGTCTGTTTTTGACAACAAATATATTATAGGAAAAGCCACTTTCAAAAGTTTTACAAAGAGGAGAAGATCCACAATTTGACCAATTGTTATCTGCATTTGGTTCAGTTGCAGAACATTGTTTACCTTCTATTTTACGAGCACTTTTTAATTGGTATGAACGTCAGTTAGTTGATCAAGGTAGTGATCAAAGAAAACCTGCTCCTGGAAAAGAAGATCAGAAAGGAAAAAGGTAAAAACATGTTTTAAATATCAAAATTATGAAAATTGTAAAATAAGTGTTCTATTTCAGCATTATGTATACAATAGTATCAGGAAGCGTAGAGACAGTTGAAAGAAGTGAAGCAGATTTACTTCAGGAACGAAGAGATCTTGCAGTAGAATTTATATTTTGTTTAATGTTAATAGAGGTTTTACGTCAATTACCATTTCACCCTGGTCATGAAGATTTAGTAACTTACATAGAAAATATAGCTTTCAAACATTTCAAATATAGAGAAGGGTAAGAGCATAATACAATACAAATTTTATAAAATATCAGTCAGTTTTATAGAAGGTTACGATTGTGTTACAGAATACAAAATGAGCCAAATGCAGCAAACATTCATATCATTGCTGATCTTTATGCAGAAGTAATAGGAGTTCTTGCACAGTCTCGATTTATGTCAGTTAGGAAACGTTTTATGGTCGAATTGAAAGAATTACGTGCTAAGGAACCAGGACCTCACACTACACAGAGTATTATTTCGTTACTAATGGGAATGAAATTTTTTAGAGTAAAAGTAATTAAAAAGCAAAAGTTGTTTTTAAATATCTTAATTGTATAAGTTTCTGTATATATTCTGCATATATGTATAAAATTGTAGATGGTACCAATAGAAGAATTTGAGGCCTCATTTCAGTTTATGCAAGAGTGTGCACAATATTTTTTGGAAGTAAAAGATAAAGATGTCAAACATGCTTTGGCTGGACTTTTCGTAGAGATACTTGTTCCTGTTGCAGCTGTAAGCTTATAACATTACATCACTAATATCTATATTAAAATTTTAACATGTATAAGTGATATTAATTTTATATTTCAGGCTGTCAAAAATGAAGTTAATGTACCTTGTCTAAAGAATTTTGTAGAAATGTTATATTCTACAACATTAGATATGTGTACAAAGTCAAAACATAGATTGGCCCTTTTTCCTCTTGTAACTTGTTTGTTATGTGTCAGTCAGAAAACATTTTTTTTGCAAAATTGGCATTATTTTCTAGCAATGTGCCTATCGCATTTGAAGAATCGAGATCCTAAGATGTGTCGTGTTGCTTTAGGTGTGTAAATAATTTCTTATATAAGCAGATTTTATATTATAATAAAATAGTCTGAACATTTCTGTTTATTTTTCAGAGGCGTTATATCGTTTACTTTGGGTATACATGATACGTATTAAATGCGAAAGTAATTCAGCTACTCAAAGTAGATTACAAAGTATAGTAAATTCTTTGTTTCCGAAAGGTTCAAAAGCGGTAGTACCACGTGATACCCCACTGAATATTTTTGTAAAAATCATTCAGTTCATTGCACAGGAAAGATTGGATTTTGCAATGCGAGAAATAGTATTTGATTTGTTATCCGTGGGTAGACCAGTGAAGATAATTTTAACTCCTGAACGTATGAGTATTGGACTTCGAGCTTTTTTGGTTGTAGCTGATAGTTTACAACAAAAAGAAGGAGAACCACCTATGCCGCGTACGATGGGAGTATTACCAAGCGGTAATACTATGCGAGTTAAAAAAACAT